GAGATGGAAGAACATTTCCTAAATTTGCTAGACCAATAAGAAAAAGAACTCTTAAAACAAGTAGACTCATAAGAAAGTATTTTGGAAGACTGAATAATTATTTGGTACTTTGATAAAGTATAGAATTTCTAGTAAATCTTCTTTAAGAAGAACAAATACTCTAACCATTCCAAATCCTTATTGGGATATCATATAGGAGTTACAATGCTGCTTCAAAAGCCCTTGGGCATTAAATCATCATATGTTTGATTGACATAAACCTTTTGTATCGAATGATTAGTGTATGCTTAATTAGAATTTTTCTTTCTGAAAGTCTTTGTCCCTCCTAAATTAAATTTTCATGGGAGAAGAGGATATCCAAAGGATATGATTTAACCGCAAATCATTAATAACATAATAATAACTGATAATATAATTCCCTTATGCTAAAAAGTAACACAAAAATGATGCAATACACCTAGATAAACCGTCAAAGTAAACATTATTCAAACATGAAATTTGAGGGAAGGTAAACATATTATAGTGTTAGGGTATTTAGGTAATTAAGAACTCATCCTTGTGAATAATATAGAATGAGGGGTATATAAGAAATTTTTCAATTTTTGACGAAATTAAAGGAACTATACGAGTTAGTTAAAGGATAATCTAAATAGACATCAAGTCATCAAATATGGAAGGGAAAAGCTCTTGAAAAACCTAATATCTTACCAAATTCATAAATAACATTTGAAATTGAGAGATGCATTCTTAGCAAGTACACCTTAAGTACAGGAGCTAGAAATGATCTGATTGCAAACTAAAGAGATTCCATCAATGATAACATTATAATGAAACTAATAGGTTGAAGAGAAAACATATAAAGATGTTCCAAACCCCAAGTCATTGCAAATTTAGATGACTAAATTTTTTTAGGGGGCGGGGGGAAGATTGTAACACTCGAGCCCAGAAACAAGGATCACCCATACTTCAAAACAACATCGTTTTGAAGCATGGGCATTAGGAGTAAGAAGGACCAAAATGACGTTGTTTTGATGAAAGAAAAAGAAAAAAAAAGGCAACAAGAGGCGTGTACGCCTCTGGCAGCCGAAGAAGATAAAGAGGAAGCCTGGACCTACACGTAAAATAAGAAAGAATAAGAGGCGTGTAGGGCTCTATGTGTAAAGATCCAAAACTAAAAGAAAATGGTATTATCTAAATGCATAAGCAAACAATAAAGTTAGAGTATACATTCCTAACATAGTAAATTAGAATGCTCAATAGAACTACGGTAATGTCCCTACTACAGCGGCTCGTAAAAATAACGAAATAAATGATTTAAAACAAATAGATAAATGTCCTTAGGGTTAACCTCCACTAGTTTTTAAAGGGGCCCGGAAGATAAACTATTCACAATCTTCTTGCTGATCGGGATCTAGATCTTGATACTTTTAATCTGAAATGGTTAATAGAAGAGTGAGCTACACTAACCCAGTAAGAATATCACACTAATCACTGATACGAAAAATAAAGGTTGGTAAAAATCACAAAATAATTAATGCAACCCTTAATTTAAGTAAATTCATTTAATATCAAAACGTTATTTGTATATTTACTGTTAAGAGTTTTTCAAAAGTAACGTATAAGAAAAACACCCATATAACATTTATAATTTCATATACAAATGAGTAAAGTCGGTCATCCTCCGTTTTTACCTGCTTACTAAGACTCCTGCGAGTCCATAGGGATATTCCCATACTCGTGAACCCAATATCTTATATTTATCAATTAACTCGGTCATCCTCATACCCCATCTGAGAATGGACGCCAAACACACCATCACCTCAATATCTTCTCCGGTATGAGGGTGAATCATATCTCTAAAATTCTTTCAGTGTCGGACTTCTCAATCCTATCCTACTGAGATAATATCCATAATAGGGATTCCCCATGTACCGGGCTTGTCCACTCTTTCCCAGGGTACCTAATAAGTCTTTCACATATAGATCCCCATCAACAAACAATCACTAATCGTCTACTAACATCTCATTTTATTTTAGCTGATCAATCAAAATATTTTTAAGCAAATAATACAGTTTTTATACCTTAACAATTAAGAAATATAATTAGAAATTTTTACAAAATACAATATTACCGATTTATTAAACCTCAATTTACCGTAATAGAAAAT